AAGGTCTTCCTTTGCCATTGGTTCACCCTCCAATGGCCGCCGCAGCTGGCGCGCGCTGATCCGATGGCAGGAGCCAGGTACTTATCCTGGTCTCCCATGGGGTGCAGGGCCCAAGCACTTGGGCCATCCTCCACTGCACTCCTGGGCCACAGCAGAGAGCTGGCCTGGAAGAGGGGCAACCGGGACAGAATCCGGTGCCCCGACCGGGACTAGAATCCGGTATGCTGGCGCTGCAAGGCGGAGGATTAGCCTAGTGAGCCGCGGCGCCGGCTATAGGTTCATTTTTTTGCATATGGGTATACATTTATTGAAAGTGATACATTCATGTTTTCTCCTTTGGCTGCCTTTTTTCAAAAATAAATTGACCATGTATATGGGAATCTATTACAGAGCACTTTTGTTGTTGTTCTGTTGATGTCTATGTCTATAGCATTGTTACACTTTTGATTACTGTTGACCTAAGTCTTGGAGTCAGTGCTAGCCATTTGACTTTATACTTTTTTTTTCCAAAATTATTTTGAGTCTTCTAGGAAACATGTTAGGATTTTCAATGGGGTTACTTTGACTCTACTGGTTGGTATTGAGGAGTTGACATCTTGAGATTTTTAGTCTTCAGCTCATGAGCATAGTATATAGCATAGCTCTATGATTGTACGTTATATTGTTTTCTCTGTTTTTGAAAGTTTTCAGAGCAAAATGTGTTAAAATTTCAGAAAAGGTAGTCAGTTATCTTTTAAAGAAATTAAAAGCAAATATTATATTTACATGTGTATTTTTCATTTATGTTTTTTAGTCCTATGTTTAGAACCAGATTTCCATCTAATACAGTCCTTCTACCTGAGAATTTTTTCTTGATTTTCAGGTAACAGTTCTTGGCTTTTGTCTTCCTTTTTGAAAGATTAATAAATCTGTGGCCAGTGCTGTGGTGTAGCAGCTACAGATGCTGCCTGCAGTTCAGGTATCCCATATGGGCGCCAGTTCAAGTCGTGGCTACTCCACTTTCAATCCAGCTCCCTGGTAATGCTCCTGGGAAAGCAGCAGCAGATGGTCCAAGTCCTTAGGCCCCTGCACCTGCATGGGAAACCTGGAAGAAGCTCCTGGCTTTGGATCAGCCCAGCTCTAGCCACTAAGGCTATTTGGGGAGTGGGCCAACTGATGGAAGATTCTCTCTCTCTCTCTCTGTCTGGCTCTCTGCCTCTCTGTAACTCTGCCTTTCAAATAAATAAATAAATCTTAAAAAAAAAGTTAATAAATCTTTAACAGAAAAATAATTTTGGGTTGGTTGGGAGAAATATCTAAAACATAGAGATTAGGGCTAATCTGGAGAGATGTTCTCACTTTTCAGCAATTTAATTATGACCTGCCTTACTGATTGTCCTTGTAGTTGCCCTGATTAGGTTTCATTGCCTTCTTGGGTAATAGATTGATAGTTTTCATCAAGTTTGGAGAAGTATTCCTACATGATTTCTTTTCCAGATATTTCTTGTGTTCTTCTCTCCCTTTTCCTGTTGAGATTCTAATTCTGTGCATGTTAGATTGCTTAACATTGTCTAGTAGATCTCTAATGCTCCATTTATTGTTTTTGCTGTTTATCCCTCTACGTCATTTTTGGTAGTTTCTGTGGTTATGGCTAAACTTACTCTTTTTTTTCTTTGCCATGTATATATCTGCTGTTGATCTCATGCTTTCTTGTACCTTCTTGAACATATTGAGAATATTTACAATATTTACATATTTTAATATTTTAATTTTATTATTTAATTTAATTTTAATATTTAAATATTTACAATATTTGCATCTTCTAATGATATTTGTATTATTTCTGGATCTTTGATATTTTTTCTCTCTCTCATGAGCCTTTTCTGTTTCTTAACATGTTTAGTAATTTTTCATTTGATACTAGGCATTTAGGTTAATTTTGGGAGGGTTAGGCTTTGTTCAAAGGGGAAGTTATATTATTTGAGATTAATTTGACCCCTTGTTTTTAAGGTTTACTAGGATGGGTCCAGAACAAAGAAGTTTTTTGGTCTAAACTTTTAGTCTGTTAGCCTAAGACTAACTTGGGTCAAATAGAAAGACAGATCTCACTTCTGAGAACTCTACACGTTTCCTCCTGTATTAGGAGGTCTTTCTACAAACTATTTGCAGGCATATATGAACTCAGGAATTGTTCTACCCTTTTCTGTTTTTTTCCTCCAACTTTGAATATTTGCCACACACACAAATACAAAGCATTCTCTTCTTAGAGACCTGAGGAACTTCTCTGCACATGTCCAGAGTCCTCTCTTTATGTGTAGATCATTTCTCTCCGGTATTTTGCCTCACAAATTCTGAATTCTGTCTCTTTAACTCAAAAGAGGTGAATGGACTCTTGAGTTCCTCCCTCCCTCTGCTGTGTGGGGAACATTTTTTCCTAGGGATAAGCTGAGGCAAGGATTGTAGTATTTAAACGGTCTTTGCTTGGAACTGAGGAGTGTCTCAGAATTGGAACTTTCAGTGCTAGAACAGGGAAGGTCCCTGGCAAATGGGCAAGGATTGATTAATCCAGCTGGTGCTATATGAGACTGCATTTATTTGACTTCTTTCGGGGATCACTGTAACAGTTATAATGCAGTAATACCCATTCTGCTATTGAGTCACTGGCCAACTTTTTGTTGTTCAAATTTCAGTAATATAGTTTGTTTTTCTAAAATTGGTCAGCATTTTTTATAGCTGTCTTTTATGTATTGTCACTTCCTGCTTCTGTTTCATAAAGACAGTGTGCTATCTCCCTAAGGAAATGATGATGTTGAATATATATATATTGTAAAGTATTATTAACATGCACCATTTGTTTCTTGAATGAAAGTTTGTTGATTTTTTTCTCATTTTGGAGATACCTAAATGATTAGTTCTTGTGAGATCATCTTGGCAGTTCAGATTCCCTGCTTCACCTTTCCCTGTCTGCTTGTACAGCTTACTCAAATGGAAGATCAAGAACAGGTGCTAGAATTTGTTTTCTGCTGTGTTCAGTGGTGAGTCTCCTGCATTGGTAGAATCTTCTCTTTTTCTTTTGTGGTTAGTAACAAAGGACATCTCTCTAGTTTGGGCACATTGGAAAATAGATAATTCTATCACAGCTGCCTTGCCTTTAGGAGAGAGAGGGTGGGTAAGGGCCTGGAAAGTCACACTGCGCTACTGTACTCTCACCTCTGTTTGTGACCCCAGGCCCATTTGTGTTTCACCTCCAGCTCCACCACCGCTGAGAATGAAAGCCCTTCTTAGGATGCTCCTATCTTTTACACTAATACATTCCTGCTGTTACTTAGCTTTTCAGTCTGATTCTGTCTAAATTGTTCTTTAGAAATTCTTAAGTTTCTGGTCAATTGAGATCTTCCTAGTTTAAATGAACTGTGCATTCCTTAATTGTTTCTTTAAATAGAGGAACCATTTGGATATTTGTAACAACATTCATGAGCCATACAAAATTAGCAACTTAAAAATTAGCCTGCTGTAGATTTGATGAACTTGGAATCCCACCTGCAGTTGCCTTGGCAGGACCAGACCAGATGATTTCATTAGTCTTGTATGGCCCACAGTCCAGACGTTCATCCCACCTTGCTTTATAACACTATTTCTTGGGGCCGGCGCTGTTGCACAGTGGGTTAAAGCCTGGCCTGAAGTGCCATCATCCCATATTGGCACCGGTTCTAGTCCTGGCTGCTCCTCTTCCAATCCAGCTCTCTGCTGTGGCCTGGGAAAGCAGTAGAAGATGGCCCAAGTCCTTGGGCCCCTGCACCTGCATGGGAGACCCAGAGGAAGCTCCTGGCTCCTGGCTTCGGATCGGCGCAGCTCTGACCATTGTGGCTATCTGGGGAGTGAACCATTAGATGGAAGATCTCTCTCTCTGTCTCTACCTCTCTCTGTAACTCTGCCTTTCAAATAAATAAAATAAATCCTTAAAAAAAAAAAAAAAACACTATTTCTCATTCTCTTCTGGAGCAAAATAGTTAGAGTTGGGGAGTTAGTTGGGGTAAAGGGATGTAGAGTGGATATTCAATCTGTCAATGAAACAAAACACAATTTCTTGTCTGTACTGAATTAGAGTCAATGATTTCACTTACACTTCTTTTATATTTAGCACAGTATTTAGTTCTTAGTGGGGACTCAACACATACTTGGTAGGATTTGTTTTCAGAAATGGAATTATTGAAAAAATTCTTAAATTACATTTGAGCCAAGTTTATTTGTTTATACATTTTTATTCAGGCCAGAATAGACATCAACCATCATTCTGACAATTATTTAATCTCTATGAGTTATTGTATGCTTCATATAGAAATTAGCTGTTATTTGGGGAAAAGTATATTTTGGGTCTGCCTCATATAGGCCGCAGTCAGCTTGATTTCCTCTTTGGAGATCGTCAAGATTTTTATTTATTACTGTTTAATCAGCTGAATACCTTGACTTTTCTTCTGTCTACCTCAGCTTCCCTGGTGAAGCTACCACCTTGTTCTTTGCCCAGGTATCCCTCTCATTTCTGTTTTCAATTTTCCTCTTTGGAAAAGAAGGTATACTTTTAGAAATTCTCAAGTAAGGGTCCATGGAAGTTTTATTAAACATTTGAGATTATAAAACAAAATTGAAATTCTATATTGACATGAATTGAAATGTTACTAAAACAATTCAGATAATAAGAATTTTCAGGTTATTTGAAATATTTGCCTTCCTATTATGTTACTAAGATGTAATTTTAGAATGTTTTTTATGTAACACATTGTCTTTACTCAACTTACCCATTGACAATCAGTAAAACCATTAGAATTCATCTGCTACAGGAAATGATGATGTGTTCCTTAGCTGTATTTCACGTAATTAAAAAAAATCACCCATTGCCTTTTTTATAACTGAACATTTCATGTTCTTTGTATGGACTATGAGGTTTTGCTGAATTTCTCATCTGGAATTACTAATTAAAACCCTTTCTTAGTGTCCCTTCTGTTGCATTTGTCTAATTTTAGAGTTCCCACCTACCAAGCAAGAAAATGAGCAGCCGACGGAAACGTGCTCTCCCCGTAAAGGTAGACGAAGAACAGCAGCAGCGGCTCCGCTGGAACATGCATGAGGACAGAAGGAACGAAGCACTCACCTCAACTGATGATGAGTATCCATGCCCCGGTTCAGACTCCTCTCCTGCTCAGTTCATCATCCTGGGTACTAGTTTAAAGAAAGAAGTGGCACATAGTGATAAAGAGATGTGTTCAACATCAGAGAGCTTCTCAAAGTCAACTCTAAAGGAAGGGACTGTTGGCTTACATTCCTCTTTGTCTGTAAAGTTGAATATTGTGATCTCTCCCTATAATGTCGATAATTCTTGGAAAGCATTTCTGGGAGAATTAACTCTTCAGCTTCTTCCTGAACAGAGTTTAATTGAAAATTTTTCTGAAAGGAGTTTTACATTAACGAGTTCAGAGTCAAGCAATCAGTTCTGGATTTATGTTCATTCAGAATGTGAAAATATAGAGAAACAAGAAAAAAAACTCAAAGAACCAGTCAGTATTTGTGGCAAGGGTATTCTGGTGGAATCACCCCTCAGTTGTGAAATATTAGAAGATTTGGGTTGGCTGCAAAAGAAGAGAAGAATACAACTTTACCAAAGACCAGAAGGAAATCACATCATCAAGGTACTCAGTTTCTCTGATGTTTTTTAATGTTCTTCTGCACTTGTAGTCCATTTTGAAGTTAACTTAGAAGGAAGGCCTGAAAGCCAGTGAGAAGCTTCTTGTTATTAAGTTTCAAAGTATACTTTATTTGGTACTTTGAATAACTATTTTAAAAAATATAACCAGTAATTTCCAGAATGTACTTTTTTGAGGAAATCTTCCTGATTGCTCCATTCACTTCTTCTCAGAATGACTTGTTTTGGGCCTTATTATCTCATCCCATTTTGTAACAATCATTTAATCATTTTTCTCTTTCCTATCTTACCTTTACAAATCTTTATGTTGTTGAATAGTATAGTATTAATGTGATGGAATTCTATTATTTCCTACCTACAGAATTAAGTATAATCTTTCTAATCTAGCATATAGGTTCTGCATTTGATAGGCCATTGAGCCTCATTTATTTCTGCTTCTTATTTTGTCCTCCACACTCCCAATTGATTTGTTTCCTGCACACACCCTACTGTCTTTCTATATATTTGCATTTGCTCTCAATGTTCCCTCTGTCTGAATGGTTCCTTTCGCTTGGCTAGTAACTCCTGGTCATTCTTTTAATAGTCAGTTCAGATCTTTTCCTAAACTGCCTGGGCAGTGTTACGTGGTCTTTCCCGACAGTATCTAATGCATATTATATTTTTGTCTCGGCCACTTAGAGTATACATGCATTTTAGATTTTTCCTCCTTATTAAACTATGAACACTCTTAGCATAGCTTAGTAAAGGGTTTGATATCTAAGAAATGGTAAATTAATGAGGTTTTTTTTTTAAAAAAAGATTTATTTATTTATTTGAAGGAGAGATAATGAATGAGTTTGTAATTTATTTCAGGCTCTACCATTGACTTGCCATGTATTTTGATATGAATCATTTAAATGCTCTAATTTCAGCTTCTTTCCATATGAAATATAAATAATACCTGTAAGGACAGGATGCAGAACACAAACTCACAGCCAGACCAGGTTTATGCAGAGAATAAGCCTGGGAGGGACCCATTCCCAGGAATGAATGGCAGAGTAGCACAGCAGATACCTAGCAGGGAGAGCATCTTCCCTTACAAACTATTGGCTTATATAGGACAAAGCAGTTGGGAAGGGCTTGGTGGTATGGGCTAACGCTGAACTCCAGTGAGAGCTGGGAGAGCTTGGAGTAGAGTGGCTTGGGAGGGTAGGAGAACTTAGACTGATGGCTGAACTCAAGATAGTAGTGTGTCCAGTGGTTGAGGCAGGGCAGCGCTGGTCAAGATAGGGTGGGACTAAGCTAACAGGACAAGGCTGGGCCAGCTGAATAATGCATGGAAATGGAGGCCTGCTTGCTGTCCTGCAGGTGAGAGGCCAAAATGGATCTAGGGCGTTTGTCCTTGCTTCATCCTCCTGACTCTAAGTGTGGGTAGGGAGCAGGGGCACTGATTTCTTTCTGGCTACTTCCTACCGATGGCAGGCATTGTTGTAGAATAGGATGTCTGTACTCTGGATTGGGTTGATTAGAGAAGAGCAGTCCTGTGTTCCTTTGTGTTGGCTCAGGATGCAGCAGTTACCTGTTTCTGTAGAAACTTTCAAAATGGTAATTAAGCATGGTAGGAATAGAAGCACTGTGACTGTGAGGAGGAATGGGGAGAGTTGAGACATCAACCATGGTTGGAAAGATGGCCAGGGGCCAGTGCTGTGGTGCAGCGGGTCTGCCTGAACACCAGCATCCCATATGGGCGCTGGGTTCTAGTCCCAGCTTCTCCTCTTCTGATCCAGCTCTCTGCTATGGCCTGGGAAAGCAGTGGAAGATGGCCCAAGTCCTTGAGCCCCTGTACCCATGTGGGAGACCTGGAAGAAGCTCCTGGCTCCTGGCTGCGGATTGGCACAGCTCCGGCCGTAACGGCCAGTTGGGGATGAGCCATCTGTCGGGTGGAAGGACTCTCTCTCTCTCTGCCTCTCCTCTCTCTGTGTAACTCTGACTTTCAAATAAATAAATAAATCTTAAAAAAAAAAAAAAAAAAGATGTGTACAGCCAAAATGATGAGCAGGAACTATTTTGAGAACAGATTTCAGTAGCCCACTTTTTTGTGCCTTTGATTCCCTCTCTTACCACCCTGACTTGTTGCTGTAAAAGCAGCATTCTTCACCTAGAAGGAGACAAAGCCCTCCTTTTTCAGAGTTAAGAGGTTGAATCCTCGGCGGTTTAAGCACTACTGCTGCCAAGGAGTCTGCCTGGTCTTGGAGGGGAGATAATCGTTGTGTTGGGTCATCTAGGTTTTCCTTGAGTGAGCGAGATACGTCTTTAATTGTGTTTGTCTTGTCTGCTGAGATTGCTCATCCAGCCACTCCTGTCCCAACTCCTGCCAGTATACCCAATGTAATTAACAAGGGGGTAAGTCCAAAATCCTTTGTCACACTGCTGGTTAGAGGGACAGGGAATAGTTGGTCTAGAGTATAGGACAAAAGGGTAAATAAGAATGAGAGTACGAGTCCCTGTCTAGTTAGCGGGAAGGCAGATCTATTCCTGATTGCTTCAGAGAAAGAACACTTCTGCTTTGTTTAGTGTGTACGTGCTGGCAAAGAGCTGTGGGATGGAGTGAATCTGGCCTGCTTCTAGTCCTGGTTCCCACATTCCTTCCCTCTGCTTATGGAAGCTCTGGCTGCTGACAGAGGTTGTAGCGACCACTGCTCTGGCTTCTTTAAGCTGAGTAGGGGTTAAGTAGGGACCCATGGTCAAAACAGGGTTCCAGCAGAAGGTGGCCTCTTGGGGGGCTGCAGTGCCAACTCCCAGAAATCGTCTCTGAGGTTTCACATGCTTGGTCGTAAGTCTGGGGGAGACAACTCTAAAAGCAGATTAAGTAGAGTCCAAAACAAAGGATAGAATCATTACTAGAGGACCTAGAAAAGACCACTGTCTAAATCAGGAGAAAGTTTTCCCTTTGAGGCAAATAGAAACTGACAGGAGGGGCTTGATAATAATCAGATGGGTGTTAAGACCTGGCCAGTTTTATGTGAGTCCTAGACCTATCTCTTCTCATGGAGTACTGGAAGAGACATTACAAGGGAGGTATGGATCTCTTTAGGGAAGACGTCCCATTGACTCCCATTACCTGGCTGACCTGAGAAGAGAGCTGGCCCGAAATGGGGTTATGGAATATGTGACATCTCTAAAAAGAAATTGACAGTTCTGCCTGCAGCGTTACTCGCCCTAGACCATCCTCTCCATTGCAGTGGTTACTTTGGAAGCTGGGAAGGGTGAAGGGCTTTTTCAGCTTAGGGAGGGCCAACAGTCTGCAGCTGTGACCTGGGAGTCCTTCAATCCCAGGGCAGTTCCGTTTCCAGGGGTCCACTTTGTAGCAGAGCTGATAGGGCTCTTCTGTCATGCCTGCTGTTTGCCCAACGCCTTGGCCTTCCACATCAAAAACTGGTACCCTTTGGGGGTGGACTGGCCTTGTTGTGGCAAGCTGTTATTAATTGGCCTGCCACCTGTCTTTACACTGTTCCTGTTGCCTAGCTTGCTCATTTTCTTCCTGGTCTCTGGAAAAGCAGACCGAAGAGGCAGCCTTTAGGATGTCAGTCAAGGGGGTGCTCAGTCCCATCCCTAATTTTGAAGGTTTCTTTTTATACCACGGTGAACTAAAAAGCCATGTTCATGGGCAAATTCTGACACTTTGTATTTCCCTGTGAGTTAAGATAGTGCCCATGAGGAGAACTTTGTCTTTTCAGGTAAGATCAAATGTAATGGTCTATCTCTGTATTATGAGGTCATCAGTAAAACTTTTTATCTCTTCCTTAGTTTCCTTTGGAAAAAGTTGGTGGTGGAGGGGGAGGGGGGACCAGTATACTGAGCTCATGGCAAAATAAACTAGCTGTGAAATTGTAATTGTGATTTAAGTTATATTTTTTGGCTATGGTATGTGGTGTTTTATATGTGTCCAGGCATCATTACAGAAAAAGGTTAACCACACCTTTTATAAGATCTTGGAATCAAACTATACATCCTAATAGAGAGTCCTTCAAAATAGAGTTGTTTTCCCACCTTGAAGAGAATAGACGAAAAATGAGGCAGTAAGTCAGGCCTCCCAGGCCTCCCAATTCTCAGTAACTTAATATCAAGTGAAAACTTAGCAAGTAATTTTTGATCTGTCAGATATCAACAAGTTATAAAAACATTTGCCAAAAGGCCCAACACCTTCTATAAACTTTAAGGCAAGACTATATGTTTTTGGAAACATTTATCTTTTACTAACTTATTTTTTTAAGCAATTATACTTAAATTATCTAAGACCTAGATTCAGTGATTGAGTTCTTGGGTTTAGGCTTTGGCCTTACCTAGCCTTGGTCCTCATAGACCAGCAGATAAGAACTCTAGCTATGTTCAGTCTCTCTCTCTCTCTTTCTCTCTCTCTCAAAAAGTAAAAATAAAAGTCAAGTGAGATATGTAAGTGTACTTTGTATACCATAAAGTAGGTTACTATACCTTCATGATAACTCAAAAAAGAAGTTGTAAAATGTTGATTTCATCTTTGTTTAACTGAATATTATATCATATTTCTCATCAAAGGAAGAAAGGAAAGGAAAGGAGGGAGGAAGGGAAAGAGGGAAGGAAGCAGAGAATATCACTATATTCTTAGAATTTTATCTATAAACTACATTGAATCTGTTCTCATGTTAATATCACATTGACATGAAAAAATAAAGTAAAAATATTCACAAAAACAATTGCAACTACTTTGAATCTTTTCTCATGTTAATATCATATTAACATAAAAAAAGGCAAAAAAAAAGCTTTTGTGAGGCAGGTGTTTAGCCTAATGGTTAAGACCCCCTCATTGCACATCAGAGTACCTGAGTTCCATACCCAGTTCTGACTCTTGGCTCCAGCTTCCTATTAATGCAGACCCTGGAAGGCAGCAGCAGTGATGACTCAAGTAATTGGATCCCCCCTGACATGGGAGACCCTCTGAGTTCTCAGAGCTGGGCTTCAGTCTGACTCAGCCCTGTCTGTTGTGACCTTTCAGAGAGTGAGCCAGTGGATTGGAGCTCTTTCTTTCTGTAATATAAAAAAGAAAGCATATTCATCAATAGCCTGATAATTTCAAAATTGACATAGGAAAAGAATATTTTGAGGCATTACATTGCAGTGAATTCTTCCCTGGGACATGAAATTATGTATTATTGAAAGTAAAAATAAGTAGAGATGTGATAGGTACAGATTTGGTGTTTGTGGGGCAGATAATTTGAATACTTTTAGAACTGTGATTCTAAAAGATGTTTTTTCTTATGTCTTTCTAAAGAATAGTATAATCTAATGAAATTGTTTTGTGTTGATTGATTATTTATAGGTTGGAGTTTATCTTTTGGAAGCTGGCCTAGCAAAACTGGACTTTTTCAGTGATGCAAATTCAAGAATGAAAAAATTCAATCAGCTCATGAAAAGAGTTATAGAAAAGTTAAACGATGTTATGGTTCCAGGTAACTATTAAAGTCAATTCTAAAATTGCTATTACATAAGAGTTATGGATTCCCCTTCCCCCAGTTCCTAGATACAGCAACCAGAAAAATGGGTAATAAAACTGTGATAAAATTAAACAACCTCTGTAAAATCACTGTTTGGCAAAATTATACTTATCTGAAATTGCCTCCATAATGTAATTTAATTCTTTACTATTTTTGCTTAACACTATGCTTAGCTTATAGTAAATATTTAAGAAATGTTTGTAGGATAAGTATGCAAGTCGAAAAAGCTGAGCTGGTTGGAATTTTTGGATTATTCCTACGCAAAATTCTGTCACAGAGCTTCTTGGCTGGCCTTTTTCCACCTCTCCTTTGCAGTCTGACAGATAATCAAGAGTGTGGTTCCCTTAAAGTCTGAGTGACTTTGCTGTGTTTCTTGGCAAGACATTGAATCCTTGGTCATGACTGCAGTTTCAGAGTTGTCTGCCAAGTCACCAAGGCGTAGTGTGGATGGCTTGGTACAATCCAACAATACTTGAAAAGCAGCTAAATTATCTCCAAGTCTTCCTGTTAGTGGGCCAATATTATTTAAAGTGTGAATTACAAAACATTTGGAATATTTAGAAAATCAGTTTCTGAGCTTGGTTTTTGATATGTTTCTTTAGTACATTCTTAAGCTTCTAGCACTAATAATACTAAATCATTTTGTAAACTAGAGACATGAGGGAAAAAATCTCTGGTTTCAGGTTAGAAGAAATGCTTTTTAATTACATCTAGAGTTTTTAAAGTTATAATAAGAATTCCAGAATTCTGCCTTTCAAAAATAATATAATTTAAAATTTTAAAACATGATTTCTAAGGGAAACTACGAATTTAATTATAGTAACAGTTTGAAGTAGCCAAGCATACACTCATGCCCTAATTGTGAAGTTTCGAAAGTTCTACATGGTATGACTTTTTGTTGAATAAAAGTCATTTTTTGGTACAATTTTAGTTATAGACTATATGAGTTATTTCCTGTAAAAAAGTATGTAGGCCTCTTTGAAAAAAAATTCCGGAATAAATGGTTCATATCTTCACCTTGAAAGAATTAATGTTTTTAGTAAGGAATCAGCTGAAAGGGATTTGTAAATTTATTCGAAGATTTTTTTTTTCATGTTATAATAAGCCCAAGTGTTCTTTTATAGAGCAGTTGTGCTCACCAAATGAATCTGATATTCTTACAATTTTGTGTTATAGCTTAAGCACTTATTTCCTAATTGGCTGCTACTGCTGCCAAATGCTATCCTTTTTTAGCATAAGAAATAGAATAGGAATTTTGGCCCCTTTTTTTAATTATTAAAATTTATTGACTTATTTGAAAGGCACAGAGTAGAGATCTTCCATTTACTGGTTCAGTCAGCAAATGATCACAATAGCCAGACTGGGCCAGACTGAAGCCAGGAGCCAGGTACTCCATCCTAGTCTCTCACATGGATGGCAGGGACCTAAACACTTCAGCTGTCTTCTTTGTCCAAGGCACAGTAGCAGGAAGTTGGATCAGAAGCTGAGTAGCCAGGAGTCACTCATATATGGAATGTTGACATCTGAAGTTGTGTCTTAACCTGCTGTACCACATCAACCCCAGTCTTTGTCTTTTTAATCATAGAAAGTTAATGTGTAAATGTGAATGTTTTAATGTTAACATGTAAAAGTTAAATAAGTGCGTCAGCTTCTCTGAGGGTCTATAGAAACAAGACAACCTTGCTCTCAATGGGGAGGGACAGATACACCTGAATAATGGTAGTACCAGATAGATTGCAATATACTGTTGTATCCAGAGTATTAAAGATTTTGCAGACAAAATTATTTCCAGCCAAAAAAAAAAAAAAAACTGTGGAAAAGTAGTAGCTGGATTATCTTAATAAGTGAATAATAATAGGGCCTTCCAATCACAAAACACACTGAGCAAGGCCTTCAAGTTGAGTGAATGTTATTTTCTTATTATAAGAATTACTTGTAGTTACAAAAGGTGGATTAGGTTTTGAAGACGTTTATTGTTGGATGTACAGATGTGTTAGAAGAGGATGAGGACAGTTCAGAGAGTGAGCCAGAGGGACAAGACATTGATGAACTCTATCACTTTGTGAAGCAAGCACATCAACAAGAAACACAGTCTGTCCAAGTGGATGTCCAGCATCCTGCATTGATCCCTGTGTTGAGACCCTACCAAAGAGAGGCCGTCAACTGGATGCTACAACAAGAACGTTTCAGAAACACTCCTGCTTGTGGCAAGTATAAAATGCTTAATGAAAGGCAGATTGATGAGGAGATTACATGAAAGAGATTGAAGATGGGGAAATTGACCATTAAAGTATATTGAAAATATGACATAGAATGGGTGTTACTGTGAATAAATTATTTGCTAAGAAATCCTCCAAAAGTAAAATCAAGAAAAATTCATTTGTGAATATCCTGATTCATAAATGTTTGACCATTTTTTTCCTGATAAAGGCTACCTTCATTGGACTTTTTATTTATTTATTTATTTATTTATTTTAAGATTTATTTATTTATTTGAAAGTCAGAGTTACACAGAGAGAGGAGAGGCAGAGAGAGAGAGAGAGAGAGAGAGAGAGAGAGGTCTTCCATCCGCTGGTTCACTCCCCAATTGGCCGCCATGGCTGGAGCTGCGCCGTTCCAAAGCCAGGAGCTTCCCTCCAGGTCTCCCAGGACTTGGGCCATCCTCCACTGCCTTCCCAGGCCATAGCAGAGAGCTGGATCGGAAGTGGAGCAGTTGGGCCTTGAACTGGCGCCCATTTGGGATTCCGGCGCTTCAGGCCAGGCCATTTTAATCCACTGTGCCACAGCGCTGGCCCCATGGACTTTTGAAAAACCAAGAAATTTATTTACATGTTTTTCCAGCTAAGAATTCCCTTTAGGATCTGGTCAGACAGCAATCTTACTAGTAAATTTGTAAGAAACTTTTCACAATTTGATGAAGAATGTTAGCAACACATAGCAGTTTATAGAAGTGGGAGACATACACCACTTACCCAATTTTCCTAGATTTTCATTTTTTTCTTTGGGCTTCAAAATAAATAAGAATAAAATGTCTTCTGTTGGGTGTTTTCATGAAAGTATATTTTGGGGAGGTATTTACTTCTTTTTCACTATCTTTTAAGGAATAGGCACAAAATGAGATATTTTTACATAATTCTTGGGAGTGATTATTGATTTCAAATATTTTCCGTTCTACCTATATAGATTTATTTTAGCTAATTATGAATAACTGTTATTTCTCCTATGTGTTCTACTTTATACTTTCTTATCCATTGACCTCCTTTTTTAACTTTTTGTTTTGGATAATAAATATTAATACATAGACAATATTATTTCATCCCATTCTTCCTGCTACCACATTTTAACTTACTTTGAAGTAAGTCCCATATACCTTTTCATTAGTTATGTTTCTGTTTATTTCATTGAAAGATAAGGATTCTCTGAATGTTTAAAAAAAATCTATAGTAGTAGATTTTAAAACCATTAACAACCAATCACTGTCTCACTGCTTTCCCTACCCAGAAAGTTCCCTCATAGCCTAGTCAATATTACTTCAATCCCTTTAGGAGGTAACTACCAAAACATAAATTAGTTTTGCCTATTTTTGAAATAACAAGGGAATTATATTATATGTGTACTTTGGGTGGGTGGGTGAGAGTTATACCTCTTTCTGTATAATGTTTTAAAAACATAGCCATGCTGCATGTATAAGTGATTCATTCTTTTTAATCCACAGACCAAATTTTTTTCATTAAATCCTCATCTGTCATTTAGCATTTCTACAGTTCCCATAGATTGGAACTTTTTCTATTTTAATATTTTCATTTCATAAGTGGTATGTATCTGTATTTCTGTATCATCTAGTAATCTTATAAAGGAAAACAAAGATAACCTTGCTTCAATGGCTATATTTTTCTTTAGAAAGTACCCTGCACTTCTTATGGCGAGAGATTGTTACATCAGAGGGCTTGAAACTCTACTATAATCCATACACAGGCTGGTAGGACAAAATTTTATTTATTTACTTAATTTAAAAAAATGAGAACTATATGAGTCATTTATGGTAATATGTGTTTTAGCTTAGCAGTACCTCAAAAAAGATTTTAAAATCTTTATTAAGCATTTTTATAGTTAGGATAAACTTAGAATTAATATCACGTCATTTTTCAGTAAATAAATGAAGAATAGCAGTTGTAAGATGCTTAGTTATCAGGATTTAAAGAGAGACTATTCTCATTAAAAATGTTACCTTGTTTACTATGAGCCATTTTTGACATTTTTCATTAAATTTGTCCATTTATATTATAAATAGTTTTGGGAATAATTAAACATAATTACTGGATCAGTAGTTATTGCCTTTCACTTTTTTTATTTTTAGTTTCATAAAATTCATAGAAATGGGGGGGGCAGACATGTTTCCTTATAATTATAGAAGAGAAAAAATGATGGAGGTTTACGAATACTGCTTTTGTTTCAGCAGACTTAGGCTATATTTTGATTATCACATTTCTTATATTCATGATCAAGGGATTTGAAGTATTTCATTCTAAAATATAGTTTCAATAAACTTGGGCTTTTATGCATTTCTTACAGTGTTCTTGCAAAGTAGCAAGATAATTTTTATTTATATTCCTGTGATGTGTTTTTCTTGTTTTTTCTTTTAGTATCATCCGTGAATACCCAAATTCTGGGCCACAGTTGCTTGGTGGAATCCTAGCAGATGAGATGGGTCTCGGAAAGACAGTAGAGGTTTTGGCTCTGATTCTGACACATACTCGACAAGATATTAAACAAGATCCTCTCACTCTTCCTGAGGTAGGAGGAATACTGTAGGGCGTGGGAAAGCAGGGGACATATGTTCTCAGAAAGCATCATATGTTGAACATTTGCTTGGCACTTTAGTCAACACTTTCTGTTCACTCTGCAGTTAATGATTTATATCATCTTCAAGTGGTCACAGAATGGGCTGTTTGTGACCCAGCAGGGATTGTTAGTGATACTGGCCAACTATGAAGGAGCTATGTAGTCACTACTTAGGCTTCCTAGTTGTTGGTAGAGAAATTCCTCTACAAAAATACTATTGACTCCTCCAGTGCTCGGTCATTACAAAAAAATTCTGATTTTTTTAATAATCTTTTAAAAATATTAAATCTGTGATATGTAAATCTTAGAATCTAATAATTAAAACATTGTTAAAGCATAGGTAGCTTAGTATAAATAGATTGTTTTTTGAAACAAATTCATAAGTCCCTTTCCCAAAATATATAATTGTGTTTAAAAATATAAAATATAAGGTTTACAAAAAATAAAAAATTTACTAAGGCTTATTCATAGCATATATTTTCCAATGTTGAACTCTGAAGTCAGCACATTAGATCATACTAAAGTAAAGCTGTTGTGTTAAGAATATAACTGTAATTAGGTTCCCCTAGTGCCCACGAGGCTCCCAGCATTTAGGATTTTGTGAATTTGTGATAGAATCAAGTTTGTAAAGTTAGCTTTTCTGGTTTGAGTAGAAAAGTAACTGGGAGAGTGTAATTTTAACTTCTTTCTAGGATTTCCTCCTCTGCATATTTTAACATCAAGTTGTTTGCAGTATTAGTGTAAATTCAATGGGTTCAGCTTTTTTTTTTTAGTATCCTTTAGAAATTTACTTACAGCAAATCTGCACTTGACATTTAGGTAATTTAAGATAACCTTGCACAATTTTAAGAAGTGATATCACAAGCTTTGAAGTGAAAAATAAGATTTGTATATATGTATAAAATATTTAGGTTTTTTTTTTTAATTTTTTACAACTGTTTTATATTTCCTTAATTGAAAGAGGGTTGATTTTAATACTTCAGAATACTAAAAGTAAAACACTATATGACTACTGATTGTTGTTTATATCAGGGAAAAGTAGTGAATTATTTTGTTCCATCCCATTGTTTTGGAGGAAAAGTAAAAGACACAGAAACCCAAAACGTGGAATTTGAACCAAAAGAAAAAATTCATTGTCCTCGTAAGTATGATATCTCTTAAAGAAATCACCTTCTTACATTTGTCTTTGTTATAATTCTTGCAATCATTAATGATATAATTTTGGTGAATGATTGCTTTTATAATTATTTGTATACATGGGTCCAATTAATATTAATGAAAGTAAAAATTTATTTATTTTTTTAAAAGGTTTATTCGCTTATTTGAAAGGCAGAGTTACAGAGAGGCAGAGGCAGGGAGAGAGAGAGAGAAGTCTTCTATCCGCTGGTTCACTCCCCAGATGGCCACCACGGCCAGAACTGCGCCAGTTCTAAGCTAAGAGCTAGGAGATTCTTCCTGGTCTCCCACATAGGTACAGGTGCCCAAGGACTTGGGCTATCCTCCACTGCTTCCCAGCCCACAGCAGAGGGCCGGATTGGAAGTGGAGCAGCCTGGACTCGAACTGACGCCCACATGGGATGCCAACACTGCAGGCGGTGGCTCCACCCACTACGTCACAATGGGACCCAGATTTATTCTTTCCTTTGACTTGATTTCCTCAGTCTGTAATATTTAAATTTCTTTAGCTTAAAATTTTAACTGAGTTTATTCTCAAGAATAGCTACTTCAGATTCTGCTACCAAATGAGTCCTTATTAATGGTAGCATATACAAAATGATTTTGAGTTTTCTCTTATCATTTTAAATGATTGTTGTTTTATGATTAACAAATTCAAGTGAATAATTCTTCCCTACTTCCATTAATGTATTTCTTAATGTGATGAGATAAATTTCTATTACATAGTCTTCAGAGTGGCATTATACTGCATTAAATTCCTGATTTATTTTTTAACTTGATCCTCAGTACAGTTTAAAATGAGTTTTGCTTTCTTTATGTTTTAATTATTTTGACTGAGTTAATGTATCCTTTTGTACTTAGCTACACGTGTGATGATTCTGAAAGCTGTGAAAGAAATGAATGGGAAAAAAGGAGTTTCCATCCTTTCTATCTATAAGTATGTCAGTTCTATATACAGATACGACGTTCAGCGGAATAGGAGTCTCCTGAAACGAATGCTGAAATGTTTAATTTTCGAAGGTCTTGTGAAACAGATCAAAGGTCATGGTTTTTCTGGAACTTTTACATTGGGGAAGAATTACAAGGAAGAAGATATATGTGATAAAACCAAAAAGCAGGTAACAGATCTTTTAAGTAAATATTTGTGATGCAGGATAAGTTGACAGATCCCATCTTGACACAGAAGCTCTTAAATATCTAAAGCAAAACAAAAAACTAGTTAGGAAAGGCACTTTATGGCTATTACTTGGGTTTCCTGCTTTTTGCATTTCAATTCCAGGGGAGCAGAAACTTTATTTTGGTTATCATTAAACTCAAAAAAGAGTGCTAGCCATATAACAAGTATGCAGTAAATGTTTATTGGGGGAATTCTACAATGAGTTGGTTAAGCATATTATAGAGTTTAAGATAACTCTTCTGTTCTCATTATAATACTTTTAGCACTTTGAAAGTTTGTTCCATACTTTAAAAATATTAATAATACTTTGAATTTTTATATGTAATTTAAGTCATTTATATAAATTCTCATTTTCTTTGTCATCATCTTATATAATTTTTACATTTTATTATAAAATTGCTTCTATAAACCAGTAATTTTTAGGAAGAAAGGTATAATATTTGTAGAAATAAAGAGAAAAGTAATTAAATCAACCCAAGATGAAGAGTACTAGTTTGGCTACTGTGAAACAAATAGCAGACCAATAAAAGTTCATTTTCTGGAGTTGAGAGTGTCCTCAGCAATGTGCTTCTGTGGTTTTATTAATCCTGCTGCCACCGAAAGAAGACAGTGTCTAATTAATGCCATTGATTCTGCATTAAGTGTTCTGACTTCTTTGACCTCAGTCCTAACATCACTCAGAGGAATCTGTTTCTAATCTACTTGCCCATCAAACCCCTACTATGTTATGTACTCCTGTTAGGAATTCCTAGAGCATCATTTGGCTTTGTTATTGTTAACTAGGGCCTAAATAATGCTCATATTTGTATTTCCATCATCTAAAATATCACCTAATGTAGAATTGGCATTCAGTAAACAAGTGCAAGGGACACAAGCAGAAAGAGAAAGAAAGAAGGAATTGATTACTAGTTACAGTAGCTAGTAGATTATTCTTTCTCTGTTTTCAGTGCTGTATCTTAGTACTTGGTATTTGTAGTTGCCAGAGTTTGTACATTTCTGTACTTTGTTTTTTGATTCAAGCAGAAGCTACCAAAATCTGTTACTCCATTTTTGTTTCTAGACTTTTATTGTTTTTGTTTTTAAGATTTATTTATTTTTTATGTATTTATTAGAAAGTAAGAGCTACAGAGAGAGAGGGAGACACACAGAGAGAGATTAGTCTTCTAACTGCTGTTTCATTCCCCAAATGGCTGCAACAGCCAGGGTTGGGTCAGTCCGGAGCCAGGAGCCAGGAGCTTAATCTGGGACTCCCATGTGAGTGCAGGGGCCCAAGCACTTGGGCATCTTCTGATGCTTTTCCAGGCACTTTAGCAGGAAACTGGATCTGAAGTGGAGCAGCTAGAACTTGAACTAGTGCCTACATGGGATGCCTGTGCTACAGATGTCAGCTTAACCTGCTTGCCACAACGCCAGCCCCATTTCTAGTCTTTATTCTCTCCAAATCATTCTTGTTCGGTAGTAAAGCTTTCCTTTTGTTTTAGGCCTATAGACTATGGGGGGAGTTACTACAAAGGGCAGATTGGAATCCACACAATCAGGAATCAGTCTCCTTAGGGAAAAAGGTAGCAAAAACTGGGTACTGGATTTTTTTTTTATAAAGCATCTATATTGTCAGTTTAATTTCATAAGTGTAATTATATTGAAATAATTAATTAAATGGTGCTCTCTCATAGGTAATAGGAAGTCCAAGAAAAATTCAGAAAGAAACCAGAAAATCAGGGAACAAGGACACAGATTCTGAATATTTGCCATCAGACACCTCTGATGATGATGATGATGATGATGATGATCCTTATTACTATTATTATAAGACCAAGAAAAATCGTAGTAAATTGAGGAAAAAGCTTGTTCTCTGCACACAAAAAAGAAAAAGTCAGCCTAACATCAATCTCAATTCACAAGATAACTGTCCAGCAACTAGTGAATCTGGGATAACTGATGTTACCATGTCTGAAAGTACTCATGAAGTCCAACAAGAATGTGAAGCAAAGAAACAAACTGAATCTCTAACCCCTGCTGGTGGTGATGGGCCACATTCTAATACTACTCAGATTCCCCATAATACCTCTGACTATCGTTTTGAGTGCATATGTGGTGAACTGAACCAAACAGACCAAAAGGCTCGTGTTCAGTGCCTGAGATGCCACCTGTGGCAACATGCAAAATGTGTGAATTATGAAGAGAAGAATCTGAAGATTAAGCCTTTTTACTGCCCCCATTGCCTTGTTGCAATGGAACCGGTATCAACAAGAGCAACTCTGATTATCTCGCCAAGCTCTATTTGTCACCAGTGGGTGGAGGAAATCAATAGGCACGTGAGATCATCATCTCTTCGAGTCTTGGTAAGGCAGTTAGGGCTAATGAAGGATGGGGAAGTGTAAATTTTTACTTCTTCATGGTAGACTTTATAATCTCTGTTGCTATGTTGTTTACCCCAGAAATTAACTTAATGATGTAATAACAACATTAAATCAGAGCTTGAGGAGGAAATGAGAGTAAGAAAGAAGATAGCAGACTGTTTATTCTGTTATTTTTCTGACATCAAAATTTCAGGAGTTCAAGTACTTTGAGTATGGATATAGGAAAGCATTGGAAAAAAATTCTTGATGACATAAGTGAAATTTTTAGTATGAGTTTTATATTCTGAGATAAATACAATCCTGAGGCAGTATTGTGTATTTTAGCTACTTGTCTGATTTGCCCTGAGCTACAGTCATCCTGTCAAACCTCAATTGCTTTATCTATTAAATAGGAACTTATTCAACAAATATTTATTGAGTATCTACTTTATGTTAGGAACTGTGCTGAGTTCTAAAAATAGAATTTTATTACATACTTGTATAGATTAAATGAGTTCATAAAGTACTGGCACATTATTTCATTATTAATGTTTGTACTCTTCACTATCTTTGCTCTTCCTTTCTACACAAGTATTATCAAAAATTTTCTTTGTTTTAACCACTCTCATTGGCATAGAGAATACAGTAAAAAGTAAAAAACAATTTTTTCAATTGAGGAGCTCTGTTTTGTGTGGTAGACAAACCTTGGTTTGAGTCTTAGCTCTATCAATTTGACTAAACTGCTTGACATTTCCTAATAACATGTAAATAGTATTGTTGAAATGTGGAAATAATAGTTAATTAATCTAGTATCTAAAACATAAGAGCATTTCATAAATAATGGCTCTTGTTTTTTTCTTTCATATTGTGTTTTTGCACATGCTATTGATTCTGTCTACCTACTTATTCCTTTCCTTTTCTTCTACCTGTGAAAATGCCTAACTGCTATTCATAGCATACCTCAAATAATCTTTTCTTGAAATTCACCTTCCCAGACATAAAGTTGGTCTTTCTACTGTGATTCTGTCACATTTATTTGTTACAAATTTTTTTACAGTGCTTAACTAGTCTTCCACACTAGACCATATCTTTTGCTAGAAAGATTTAGTATCTATCACACAGTATGTGTGGTCCTAAGGTAGTAGAAAGGGCTTAGTAACGGTATAAATAGATATTTCATTTGTCTTTGAGTCTTTTTGCAATAACTATATCTGGCTGTTTATTTCCTAGGTATATCAAGGAGTGAAGAAAGATGGCTTTTTACAGCCTCATTTTTTGGCAGAACAGGATATAGTTATCATTACCTATGACGTCCTTCGTTCAGAATTAAACTACGTCGATATCCCGCATAGCAACAGTGAGGATGGACGTCGCCTCCGCAACCAGAAGCGCTATATGGCTATTCCCAGCCCCCTTGTAGCTGTGGAGTGGTGGAGGATCTGCCTTGATGAAGCTCAGATGGTTGAATGTCCTACAGTGAAAGTGAGAGTTTTTGCAAAATCTTTTTGAAGGCTGTGGAAAAAAACAGAATGGGATTAGGGTGACAGGAGTACTTTAATAGTTTAAATATAATTAACCTACGGTATTGATATTTCTCAAAAGTTTGCTGTTATACACTGCATTTGCTTTTCTCTTGTATGATGAACTATATAACACTTTGGAATTTTTTTGATACTCTGTGTAAATCATGGCTGTATGATCAGTGCAATGTATGTTTGGATGACATGTCAGTTTTTGTGTGATACAGATCAAAGTAAACTGGATTTAGGGACTTCTATAAGCATTTCTACAAACTGGAAAGCTAATCATGTAGGCTTTCATAGCTTTGAACCAAAGTCAACTTTGGCTTTTTTTGTTTGTTTTAATGAGAAAGACCAATTGGTAACAGAAAATGCTATTTTGAAGGCTAAAATTTTCATTCAGCTTTATCATATTCTGTATCTTCTTTGATTCCTCTATTACTTGAACCGAGTTTATAAATCATGTCTCAACACAGTGGTTTACATCTGGAGAATGGATTGGTTTTGGGGCTGTACCAAGTCATTTAGGGCGCCTCATCATTCTGTGTATGCTTGTACTACCCCTGAATCTCAGGATGGCCACACTGCAGCTCCCACTAATGAGAACCGCTGTATTGGGAAACATTCCACTGAATGTTACATTCCACACTAAGTGTAATAACTACAGATTAGAAATAGATGCGTCTCACCTGAAGTGCAGCTCTTTGTAGACTTTTTTTGAATAAGTATGGGTCTGACTTCTGCATTCTCCCTGTTTTCTGATTCTATTTTGTACTTCTCTCTCACAGGCTGCTGAAATGGCTCGGCGTTTAACTGGGATCAACCGGTGGTGTATCAGTGGCACTCCAGTACAGAGAGGATTGGAGGGTAATGTGTGATTTCCTTGCATTTTTCCTATATTTCAAAAGGTGGATTATTTTGAGGAAAAATGCTGTTGTGCTTTACCTTTGAATTTGTAGTTGACTCCTAATAGTTTCAAGCATTTGTCTTTTAAATGAAACTTATTATTTTTTTGTTTGCATATATGAGGATAGATGTATAGTGTTTTTTAAGTTGAACAATTTTCATACTTGCTTAAATTTTGTACATACAGATTCAGAGGTTGGCGCTGTGATGTGGCAGGTAAAAATGCTGCCTGCATTTCCGGCATCCCCTATGGGCACAGGTTCGAGTCCTGGCTGCACCACTTCTGATCCAGCTCTCTGCTATGGCCTGGGAAAGCTGTAGAAGATGACCCAAGTGCTTGGGCCTCTGCATCCGTGAGGGAGACCTAGAGGAAGCTCCTGGCTACTGGCTTCTGATTGAGTGGCCCAGCTCTGGCCATTGCAAACATTTGGGGAGTGAACCAGAGGATGGAAGACCTCTCTTTATCTGCCTCTTCTTCTTTGTAACTCTGCCATTCAAATAAATAAATCTATCAAAAAATACACATTCAAATTGAATGCAGTTTCAAAATAGTAGGTACAAAACAGAATAATTATGGGTCTGACTTCTGCATTCTCCCTGTTTTCTGATTCTATTTTGTACTTCAAATTTCATTTGACTCTATAAAAATCGGGATCATAATTTTCATTTTCTAAATCCATAAGTTTTGGAACCATAATTTTATTAATTATAAAATTAATTAAAATAATTTAAAAATTAATTTAAAATGTTAATTATGCCATTATTATATCATATTTCCTTCAACTAGTCTTCTTGGACATTTAGTTTGTGTGTACTCTTCTCCTACATACAGGTTTTAAAGAGATTATATCACTTTCTCTATTAGAAAAATTTATTTTAAGCACCTTAATTCAAAGTGTAAGATATGCAGGTGTTTTGAGTTCTTGTCACCATTTAGCAGATTCTTAAGCAATTTTTTAAAAAAGATTTATTTATTTACTTGAGAGGCAACATACAGACAAAGAGAGGGAAAGACAAAGAGAGAGGACTTCCATCTGCTGATTGATCTGCAAATGGCTGCAGTAGCCAGAGCTGGGCCAATCTGAAGCCAGGGGCCCAGAAGCTTCTTCCACATGTCCCAGGTGGGTGCAGGAGCCCAAGGACTTGGTCCATTTTCTGCTGCTTTCCCAGGCACATTAGTAGGGGGCTGGATAGGAAGTGGAGCAGCTGGAACTCAAACTGGCACCCATATGGGATGCCAGCACTGCAGGCAGCAGCTTTACCCACAGTACCACAGTGCCAGCCCTTGAAGCCAGGAGCCAGGAGCTTCTTCCTGGTTTCTCATGTGGGTGGAAGGGCCCAAGCAGTGGGGCCATCCTCTACTGTTTTCTCAAGCCATCACCAGGGAGCTGGACTGTCAGCTCGAACCAGCACTCTTATAGGATGCCAGCACCATAGGCAGATGCTTAGCCACTGTGCCATAGCACCAGTCCCCAAGTAACTTTTTTAAGAAATAGCTTTATTAAGCAACTTGGGATTGATATATCAGTGACACATATTAAAACTAAGTATGTAAGTGTGAAATTTGAAAAGTTTATATATATGTATTTATAGCTATGATTCTATTTCCACAGTAAGATTATCAGTCCCAAAAGTTTCCTCATGCTCAAAGAGACTTTTCCAAACTTTCTGAAATTTCACTTGTTTTTCTTCTTTACTTCAGTAACTGTCTTATATCTTTAAAACTTTTTTTCTTTTAAAGTGCATGTTTTTTTATAGTTCTTGTATTGGGGATGTTAACCTGTGATTTACTACTCTGTTGTATTTGGGAGTAGAATTCTCAATGGTTGTTTAATTTTCATTATGGATGAGGGATTCTTTTTTTTTTTTTTTTTTTTAATTTATTTGACAGAGTTAGACAGTGAGAGAGAGAGACAGAGAAAGGTCTTCCTTCCATTGGTTCATCCCCCAAATGGCCGCTGCGGCCGGAGCTACACTGATCCGAAGCCAGGAGCCAGGTGCTTCCTCCTGGTCTCCCATGAGGGTGCAGGTGCCCAAGCACTTGGGCCATCCTCCACTGCCCTCCCAGGCCACAGCAGAGAGCTGGACTGAAAGAGGAGCAACCGGGACTAGAACCCAGCGCCCATATGGGATGCCGGTGCCACACAGAGGATTAACCAAGTGAGCCACAGCTCTGGTCCCTGGATGAGGGATTCTAAACCTTGACTGTATCAACATTTTATTCCAGATAATTTTTTGTTGAGGACTGTTGCACCTTTTAAGATGTTTAGCTTTTACTTGCTAGATGCTGCTAGCACTTCTGCAATTCTGACACCCACAAATGTCTCTGGACATGGTTATGGGGGGCAAAATTGCAGCCTTCCACTTCAGTTAAGAATGATGATTTATTAATTAATAGTAACTCAGAGATCTTGTCAGTCCCAACTGTCCACATACAGAATGAAGAAATGAGGGTAGGGTATTTTCATTTTGTTTCTTTTTTTTTTTTTTTTTTCTTTTTTTTAATTTACTTGACAGATAGAGTTAGACAGTGAATGAGAGAGAAAGACAGAAAGAAAGGTCTTCCTTCCGTTGGTTCACCCTCCAAATGACCACCACGGCCGGAGCTACACTGATCCTAAGCCAGGAGCCAGGTACTTCCTCCTGGTCTCCCATGTGGGTGCAGGGGCCCAGGCACTTGGGCCATTCTCCACTGCCTTCCTGGGCCACAGCAGAGAGCTGGACTGGAAGAAGAGCAACCGGGACTAGAACCCTGCACCCATATGGGATGCTGGTGCCACAGGCAGAGGATTTACCAAATGAGCCATGGTGCCAGACCTTGTTACATCTTTTGTATGTTCCTGCAAACAGGCTAAAATCTTACTAGTTTACCTGAAAAGTCAAACAAATAAGAATATTGCCCACTCCACCCACCACTGCATTCCATGTCGGTAGAATATACTCTCGTATATTATGTATAAAGTTTTGACTTTGGTGGATGTATGAGTATAAATCTGGGTTCACATCCTGCCTTATTGTTGGATGTCAATAAATTTACTTAAACATTCAAATCCTTATTTTCTTAATTTTTGAAATAAAGTATTCTAAAGATTAATTATACTAAAATACATAAATCATTTAGCATATAGTACTTGGCAGATATTAAATAATCAATGAACAGAAGCTACTTCTACTTCTAGTTTTGTTTTTTCTTTTATGTAATCATTTACTTATTTTAGTTTCTTTGAAAGTGTTGATTTTAAATAGCAAGTGCTTTGCAGTACATTTGTTATTCTAATTATTCTTTGTGGGTTGTGATCAGCAAAAATAGACAAAGTCCCTAACCTTATTTTTCTTACAGCTTAGAAAATGTATTAGTTAGGCATATCTTACATTGTTATCAAGATAACTCACAAATTCCAAAAATGTAAAATTCTAACTATATCAAATTTCATAAGCAAGATATCTTATTTTATAACCTCTTGTACTAGGGATACAGAAGAAAGTGAGCTGAACTGAGAGACTTAAACATTAACATGAGCTAAGAGGCAAAGAAAGAATTCTGTGTTGTAGAGGGAACAGAAAATATAACGAACATATGGCAACAAGAGACTGAAAGAGAGTTAGTATGAATAGAGTACAAAGAACTAAGAAAAAGATTGTGTGTTGAGAAACTGAATAGTGGAAATTAAAGGGACGATAGAGGAACCTGTAAGTCATGACATAATTTTATTCATTTTCTTAAAAATAACAGGAGTTAATGAAAGGGTTTAATCACAGTGGTTGTGGATTACTTTATGGTTGGATTTGTATTTTAAGAGATCACTTTAGCTGCAGTGTGGAGAATGGTTTAGAAGATCACCAGAGTGAACATAGGGATATCAGTAGATTGGCTGTAAGTCATCTAGGCATGTGGTGCCAGCACTTTGGATTTGACCTAGCTTTGTCCTGAGTAAATAGAAAAGTGGGTGAGGGAAAATTAACAAAACTTGGTGATGAATTAGGAGATGCTAAGGTTTCTGACTTGCATAAGTCTGTTGATACAGACAATATTCACCAATGGAGAAGACCTAGAAGAGAAGTATGTTCAGGCAGAATGATTCTCGATTTGATTTTGACATGTTGAGATTGAGGATCTTTGGAGCTTCAAAGAAGAGGTAACCAGTAGGCAATTGGATTGATATGAGCTGAAAATGTAGGCTTGTGGATCTCTACCTATAAGCAGTAATGTTTTGGTTCTTTTAGATGTTACTAACTCCCAGGAACCATCAGAGCAACTTAAGGGAATCTAAGTATTTGTTGGTCATTTTCAGAACAGATCTTGAAGGAAAGGTTATAGTTTTTTTTTTAATTAATTTCTTATGACTTCTAAGGAGAATATATGTACATTAAGAAAAATTTTAACAATACAAAAAAGGGGCCGGCGCCGCGGCTCACTAGGCTAATCCTCCGCCTTGCGGCGCCGGCACACCGGGTTCTAGTCCCGGTTGGGGCACCGGATTCTGTCCCGGTCGCCCGTCTTCCAGGCCAGCTCTCTGCCATGGCCAGGGAGTGCAGTGGAGGATGGCCCAAGTACTTGGGCCCTGCACCCCATGGGAGACCAGGATAAGTACCTGGCTCCTGCCATTGGATCAGCGCAGTGCGCTGGCCACAGCGCGCCGACAGTGGCCATTGGAGGGTGAACCAATGGCAAAGGAAGACCTTTCTCTCTGTCTCTCTCTCTCTCACTGTCCACTCTGCCTGTCAAAAAAAAAAAAAAAATTAAAAAAATAAAAATTAATAAAAAAAAAAAATACAAAAAAAAAGAAAATTAGATCTACCCTTAACCTTCATTTGACAAAAAAACCACATTCAGTCTTCTCTATGTAAATCGTTATATATTTGAATTCATACTGCATACATAATTTTGTTCCTTTTTTTTTTCATTTAACATTACATCCCAAGCAATTTTCCACATGTTAAAAAATCATCCTAAATAGATAGAAAGTTGCTTAATATACATTAAGTGGGGAAAAAATAACATATGTGCCCAGTCAAGTGATCTATAAGAAATGCCATGCTCTAAAGCTAATAGAAGGCCTGCTGGATCAGGAAAGAAAAATAGTTCTGTTTTATGTGGACACGATAATTTATTTGCTTGAATTAATGTTTATTTTGTTGCTATGAACATGACTCTGTGAGTAAATCTTTTCTATACTTTTTATGATTATCTTAGGCTCATTTCCTGAAAGTGGAATTATTGGATCAGAGTGAGGAATATTGGGTCAGAGAATATTCTCCATGTTAGATTAGAATTTTTTTTTCTGATCCAGAAAATCTTGCATCTGTTGGTTTCAGACCATGATATATATTAATGTATCTCTTACAAAGCATGCTTAATAAAGCAGTTTTATGTCTTACCTCTGTGGTAGTTTTGAACTGAGTACAAGCTTTGTGTAATGATTTCATAAACTTTACATTTTAACATCTGGAACAAAACCTAGAGCACAGTAGATTATCTGGACATGTAAACTGGATTAATGTTGAATTTCAACTTTGAGAGCTATAAATCTGTATTTTAATTCATGGAATGTACTCTGTAATGTTTGTGAAAGTGCTTATTCAAAATAGTAATGAAGGGATAGACATTTGTTTGGCCAAGCAGTTAAGACATTCACATCCCATATTGGAGTGACTGGGTTTAATTCCTGGAACTGGCTCCCAGTTCCATCTTCCCACCATTGTAGACCTTGAGAAACAGTAGTGATGGCTCATGTAATTGGATCTCTGCCACCTACATGGGAGGTTTGATTTGAGCTCCTAACACCTGGCTCCTAACTGACCCTGGCCCAGCCCCGCCCTGGCTATTGCAGGCATCCGGGGAATGAACAAGCAGATGGAGTGAGCTCTGTCTGCTATCTGTCCGTCCGTCTTTCTTTCTCTCTGTATTTCTCTCTCTCTGGAATAAATAAAATAAAATAAAAATAATAATGAAGAAATGCCAAAACAGTATTCTCAATGTACTTTTGTTTTTCAGATCTCTTTGGGTTAGTGGTCTTCCTGGGCATTGAACCTTACTGTATCAAACACTGGTGGGTTCGACTTCTGTATCGGCCTTACTGCAAGAACAATCCGCAACCCCTCTACAACTTTATTGCCAAGATACTCTGGAGGTCTGCAAAGAAAGATGTGATTGACCAAGTCAGTGCATTAAGTTTTTATTGATTACGAATATCTAATAGAAAGAAAAAAGGAAATGGAGTGGAAAGTTAAATTTTCAGGTTGAGATCTTGTTTTGCCTTCCTCTTGCAGATCCAAATACCACCTCAAACTGAAGAAATACACTGGCTCCACTTTTCTCCAGTGGAAAGACATTTCTATCATCGTCAGCATGAAGTGTGCTGCCAGGATGCAGTGGTAAAACTTAGGAAGATTTCCGACTGGACTCTGAAACTCAGCAGCCTGGACAGAAGGACCGTCACCTCCATCCTGTACCCATTACTTAGGCTCAGGCAGGCCTGCTGCCACCCACAGGCTGTTCGTGGGGAGTTCTTGCCACTCCAAAAAAGGTTTGATTACCCATTTTCTTACACTGATTGATAATATTATAATAATAAACTGTTTATGTAATCAACTTTCCAGTCTAGAATTTCATTGACAAACTTTTAAATGAGTTTTCAATTTTTTGTTGCTGTTTTATTGGTGTGGTAATTTTTCTTTGGTACAGAACCTCATTTGTGAAAGAGAATTGCAGTAAAATTATTTGCATGGTTTTGAATATTTCTTTTAAAAGTAGATTGTTTTGCAGTAGTTTTATTTGTTTTTTTGTTTGTTTTTGTAATTTTTTTGACTGCCCTCCAACTATGAAAGGCTTTTGTTTTTATTAGATTTCTTGATTTCCACATCAGGGAATCAGCTTACATTAAATATTTTCCTTACAAATGTGTTATTATCTCTAATTATTCTTGTGAAAACTTTAAGGAGTTTATGTCGATGATACTCCATTGTCCCAGAAATTCTTTTGTGCATCAGACTGCACATTAGGAACTGACCTCATTTTAACACTGAGTATTAGAAAGAAACCCTTTCACGTCCTATAAGAAATATATAAATTTGACTTTTTCCTTGCGCTTAATCAGACTATAGACAAATAAAGGAAATGACAAGATGATAGATTTCTATAACATAAGGCAAACGTGGTAAGTCTCCTAAGGTGTATGTACAAATTGCTATGGACATTAATGGAAACAATTTCTATTTATTTGACTTTGGTTAGATACCCTTCTGATGGAGTTGATATTTGACCTGGTCCTTGGAGAATCTTCCTTTTTACACAATGAAAGGAAAAATTCAGGTTTAAAGAAGTTAATTAATTAAGTTGCAGTGAAGGGTTTTAGACTCATTCTCACATTCTGTCACCCATTCTGATATGTCGTGTTGTATCTAACTTCATTCTCCCTTGAGTGTTATGGGAGAAACTGTGATGGTATCAGAGAGAGGGAAGGGTGCTTGTTGGAATAAAGATAATTAAATTTAAAGCAGTAATGATCAAAATGAATGTATGCAACATTTTTATTATTGATCTTGTGTGAAAAAAGATTCCGTTGAAATAACACCTGGGATTTTCTTTCTAGTTTTGAACAATCTGCCCCTCCCCCTTCATTTTTCCTTTTATTTTTTTAAAGCACCATGACAATGGAAGAGCTGCTGACATCTCTGCAGAAGAAATGTGGGACTGAATGTGAAGAAGCACATCGGCAGCTAGTCTGTGCTCTCAATGGCTTAGCAGGCATCCATATCATTAAAGGTAGAAGGTGATTGCTTTGTTATCTCTGGTTCTTCCAATTACTTTCTTCATATATCAAGAGAGAAAAATCTTCCATCCACTGGTTCATTCCCCAACTGGCTGCCACAGCCAGAGCTGGGCCAGACCAAAGCCAGGAGCCAAGAAGTCCAGCCAGGTCTCCCACAAGGGTGGCAGGTGCCGAAACACTTGAACTATCTTTTGCTGCCTTCCCAGGGGCATTATTAAGAAGCTGGATCGAAAGGGGAACAGCCAATGCTCAAACCAGCACTCCAGTATGAGATGCAGATATTACAAACAGTAGCTTAACCCACCAAGGCATTATTTTCTGATTACTTTCTGAACAGGATTCATTATAGGAGAAATGAAAATCCTCCCTCCTCTCTGCCTCTCAGATTACTGATTGTAATTAAAATAGGTTGAGCTGAATATTGAGAGCAGTTAATGCAGAACAGTTGAAAAACCTTAAAAATCCACATGTGCATTGGCCAGATGCTTCTACTTATAGAAGTTCCTTGATTTCTGTTTTTATGAGTTTTTTAGAGAAATTAGGATGTGAAACAATACTTGGCTATAAATTGATAAACTTAGTCTTTAACAGTGAACTGAAAACTATCAAAATGTCTAGAAATAGAAATTATAAAACATTTAAGGAAATATTTACTAATTTAAAAATAACATTGCTTGTAAATTTATTTTCTCAACAAACATCTGTGTGTCAGGTATGTTCTAGATAAAGATGATGATTTCCAATATAAATATAAGAACCATAGGAATTGTATTCTGTAGGTTGTAGAGGAATGATTAAATATGTTGACAGACTGATAACATAAAATCAGACTTCTAGACAAGAAAAATTTCAATGTCTGATGTAGGAAATATACTTAATAAATAGAAGACTATGGGGCCGGCATTGTGGCATAGTGGGTGACGCTGGCACCTCATTGGGGTGGCAGTTCGTGTCCCGGCTGCTCCACCGAATCCCATGTGAGTGCCAGTTTGTGTCCCGGATGCTCCACTTTCAATTCAACTCCCGACTAATGGCCTAAGAAAAGCAGCAGAGGATAGCCCAAGTGTTTGGGCTCTTGCTACCCATGTGAGAAACTTATGAACTTCCTGGCTCCATGCTTCCGTGCGGCCCATTCCTGGCTGTTGTGGCCATCTGGGGAGTCAACAAGCAGGTGGAAGGTCTTTCTTTGTCTCTCCTCTCTCTGAAACCCTTTCAAATAAATAAATAAATTTTCAAATAAATAACTAAAAAAAAATGAATAGAAGGTTAGACACTGGAGAAGAAATGGTCAGTGAAGTTTAAGTATAAATTAGCAATACATACAATGTAACATGAAGAACAAAGAGAATAAAGATTGAAAATTTGAAGAGAACATAACTGAGATTTTTGACAATTTCAAATGGCTTAATATTCATGTATTGGAATCCCTGAAGAAGAAAATATATATTGTGGATTTTTTTCTTAGTTTTATTCAAGGTATACAAATTTCATGCATTTCATATATACAGACAGATTTAGGAACATAATGATTATTTCATATTGTGGGTTTTATAACAGTGTAAAATATATAGTAATAGCACAATGTCTGGGAGTGAAGAAATGGGTATGTAATTAATGGTTTTTATACTATTTTTGAAGCGATATAGTAATAGATAAAGGAGACTTTGACAAGTCAAAGATATGTATTTTATACCCTACAGCAATTGTGAAAAGACACACTATTGTGGGAAATTGCAATCCAAAAAGAAGAAATTTTAAATGAATAGTTAAAAATCATCAGACTAAAGGAGATAAAAGGAAGCAAAAAAGGAAAAGGCAAATAAAGAACAGATGAGACAGTTTGGAAACAATAATAATATGTCAGATTTACACCCAGGTATATCAATGGTTATATTAAATGTGATGTCTTAGATACCTCAGTTGAAAGTCAGAGATTATCAGACTACATTAAAAAAACAAAAGCAATATCCCACAATATATTATCTATGAAAATCCCATTTATATTTAAAAGTGCAAATATAAAGATTAAAACGGTATACCTTGTAAATACTTGCAAAATAAAGCCAGAGTGGTTTATTACTATCAGACAAAATAGATTTCAGAGTAAAGAATATTACAAGGATGAAGAATGTTATTTCATTTCTGGCGGGGAAAATACCTAGATGTTTTGGGCACCAAAACCAGTACTCAAAATAAATAAAATAAAAATTGATAAAACTGATGAGAATTAAGAAATTCATAATTGTAGTAAAAAATGTTAACAACCTTCTCAATTACTTACAGAACAAGTTAACAAGAAATAAATAAGGACATAACAACATAAGACCATCAACACGAGACCTAACAGCATTATTGGATATTTTATCCAACTATAGAAGAAACACATTATTTTTAAGTACACATGGAACATTTACCAAGATAGGTGATATTCTGGGCTATAAAACAAATCAATAAATTAAAAAGGATTCAAATCTAATGACATGTTTTTGGTATGACAGCAGTAGAATTCAATGAGATCTCAATAGAACAAAGATAAATGGAAAGGTCCTAAATACTTGGAAATTTAATAATACACTTTTATATAACCCCAGAGTTAAAAAATAAGTTGAAAGGGAAACTAGGAAGTATACTGAAGTGAATAAAATAAAATACCAAATTTGTAGAAGGTAGCAAATCAGTAAAGGGAAATTTATAGCACTAAACACATTCTTGGAAAAGGAAAAGTTTCAGACAACTGACACCTTAAGAAACTTCTTTTAACGGAAAGCAAATGAAGTAAAAAGTGCACAATAGACAGGAAATAATGAAGATCAGTGCAGGAATCAACTAAAAGGAAAACTGAATAGAGAAAAACCATGAAATCAAAACCTGGTTCTTTGAGATCATTAAAGATTCCATAAATATTTAAAAGTATTATGAAAGAATATTATCACCAACTTTATGCCAAAAACTTTTAACAACTTAGATTAAATAGATAAAGCCCACAAGAGGAAATAGATGATTTTTATAGTTAAAATAAATTTCCAGCAAAGAACATTCTAGGCTCACATCACTTGATTAGTAAATTTTACTGAACATTTACGGAATAAATAATACAATGTCTGTTTAAACCAGCCAGAAAAATTGAGAAGGGGGATACTACTTTCCATCTTATTTTATGAGGAGTCATTATCTTGATTATAGAACCAAAGACATTAACGGATATGATTGCTGGCTGATACCACTTATGGACATAGATTCATATTAATTTTTAAAAACTGTTGTAATGATTGCAATATATAGAAAGATTAATATGTGTATTATGACTAAATGGAGTTTATCCGGGAATGCAAGGTTGGTTTAGTTTTTGAAAAGTAGCTTCTACAGTTCACCGTGTAACAACTAAATAAGGAAAATAATTTCAATTATTATAAGAAAAATATGTGACAAAATTCAACATCCATTCATGATAAAAACTGATAGCAATATAAGTATCAAAGGTTTTCTCAACTTGATAAAAGTCATCTATAGAAACTTATAGCTAATGTCCTAGCTAATGATTAGAAATGGGATCTTTTGCCTGTGAGATCGTGAAGACATCAGTGATGTTCCCTCTCACCACTTCTGTGAACATTGAGCCTGAGGTTCTTTTCAGTGCACAAAAAGGTAGAGAAAAAAAAATTATCAACTTGGGTAATAAATAAATAAATTAAACTGCCTTTATTTACACTAACACTATTTATATAGAAAAAACAGAACTGGGGCCGGTGCTGTGGCGCAGTGGGTTAACGCCCTGGTCTGAAGCGCCGGCATCCCCTATGGGTGCTGGTTCTAGTCCCAGCTGCTCCTCTTCCAATCCAGCTCTCTGCTCTGGCCTGGGAAAGCAGTAGAGGATGGCCCAAGTCCTTGGGTCCCTGCACCTGCGTGGGAGACCGGGAAGAAGCTCCTGGCTCCTGGTTTCGGATCGGTGCAGCTCTGGCCATTGCAGCCATCTGGGGAGTGAACCAGCGGATGGAAGACCTCTCTCTCTGTCTCTACTTCTGTATGTAATTCTGTCAAATAAATAAAATAAATCCTTTAAAAATAAATAGAGCTAACAAGTGAAATTTACAAAGTGAATATACCAAACTGAGTTTTATTCTTACACATCAGGAATGAACAATTAGAAATTGTAGTAACAGTATAATTCACAGTAATAAAAAATAGGAAGTCAGTTTCAAGAAGACCCATATAAAAAGAGTACAAAAACACTGGAATTGCTGATAAAAAATTAAATAATACCTTGTGAAACTATGTTCATGGATCAAAAGTTTCATTATTATTAAAAAGCTGATTCATCTCAAGTTGATCTATAGAGCCAACACAGTTAAAATTTCTCCAAAAAAACTTCAGCAGGCTGTTTCATAGAGATTGAGAGTGTATTCTAAAATTTGTATGGAAGTACAGTAGTCAAGAAAACCTTGAAAAAGAATGAAACAGAAGATTGATACTACCTTATTTTGGAGACTAAGTCTGGCAATCAAGACTGGCATTTTCTTATAGTTAGCGGAGTTGTCCAATGAGATAGCATGGTGTCTAGAAATAGTCCTACTTATTTCTGATCTAATAAGAAAACAGCCAAATGAAAATAGGCAAAATGTATGAGCACACATTTCAGAGAATGAATAGAGATGGCAAGAAGCACATTAAAACATATTCAACATCATTAATTATTAAATCTGGAAATTGAAAGTATAAGAATACTGTACCCTTAGAATGGCTCAAATTAAACAGATTAGATATTAGCAAGGATGTGGAACAATTCTGTGAATTCCCATTCTCATTCATATGCTGCTGGTGAGAGTAAAACTGTACAATGAGTTTTCCGTTATTTCATTTACTCTTAATTCTGTTCATTTCCTTGACCTCCACTTAAATGGTGAACTTGGATTTCAACTCTGTACCTCCACCTTTTGTTAGAATCGTTTATTTCTGTAGAAATTTTCCATTTTCTTCATGATAACTTTTTTATCTG